ACCATTCTCATTTCTGTTTCTGTCTTTTGTACCAAATTTGTGATATCTTGCAATACTTTCTGCTTTACTAAAAATGGTTCTGTATTTGTATCAAGTTCAAGTAGGTTTTGCCCAGCATTTGAAGATGAGCTCTTAATCTCTCTATAAACTTCTACCTCTGCGTACTTGTTTTCTTTTTCCTTTATTTTTCCAAAACTAATATCTTCTTTTTCTTTATTTTTCCATATTACCCATTCTTTTGTTCACTTGTTAGTTTTGAGTTTTTCAAGTATTAATCTAGGTGTATTTGTATTGTTTATTGCAAGTCTATATTTTGGTTTGATTTTTCTAGTTTGTGTATATATTAGCATTTCTTTTTCTAAGTTCTCAAATCACTTTACTTTTTTGCCTCATTTGTCTATCTTTAGAGTCCACTTTATTTGTTTTCATGTTCGCAAAAGATTGCCCTTTTTTGATATGAGTTGAGATATTAAATAAATACCAAGCTTGCTTGTGTTGGTTTCTTCATAAGCTATACTCTGTCTTTCTAGTACTTTGGTCATCTTGATATTGTTTGTTATTCATAGAAACTAAAGGTTCCACCTTCTGGTAAAGATACTTTCTTTTATCAAGAATCCTAATGCTTTTGCTTGCTGAAGAATTTGTATACCCAGGTTTTTGATTTTTAGTTCATGCTTTTTCAGAAACTCTTGGTTTGTAAGAATATACCTTGTTACTTCTATTCTCAGTTGTCCTTGTTTGAGCCTTCTTATTGTTGATTCTTGGACTAGGCTTTCCATATTTATTCTTACTATGAGTTCTGAAAAGTGGTTTTCTATATGTCTGTTCCATAGGCTTTTAAAGTTTATTATTTCCAGGTGCTTTGGTATAATTTTTGCTATTGTGAAAGGTATTGATAATTTCTATTTTGTTAGATATAACATGGTTTAATGTATTTTATCACATTGGGCTTTAGTTAGGTATGAGATCATTAGCCTGTACTCTAGAATTGGTATGAGCACTGCATTATTTATATATATGATCTGACTAAGAAACATCTTTTTGAACTTAAGCAATACTGTTATTCAAGCTACTTCTTTCCTTGCTTTTTGCATATCAGATCTTTTTTGATTTTTCATAGATATCCAAACTCCCAGAAAGCAAGTAGCTTCTTTTGGATCTTTTGCTAATATTTTTGTTCTCGGATTGCCTACTTATATATAAAGATTGTCTGCATTCTTTTTTCTATTTGCTTTTACTACTACTAACTCTGTTTTGTTTGGATTTATTTCAATATTATTTAGCTTGTAAAATTCATTTGAGATGTTTATTGTTTTTTGCATATTTTCCTAACTACTCGTGATCCAAGTTGTATTATCAGTATATGCAAGTACCCCTACTTTAATACTTTCTTCTTTTGCCTTTCTATTAGTGCTTTTTTTGTTACTTCGTATTTCATAATCTAGGTTAGCTTTCTGTACCATACACAAAAGTGGATTGTAGAAGATTCTCCATACTAGAAGAGAAAGCACCTTCCCCTGGTCAATACCATTTCCTGCCTCTGCTGCTTCTGTATTACCAAATTCTGGTATAAAACTGAGCTTTCTTTTATTATATAAATTTATAATAAAGTCTGTTAAATTTGATATAAAATTTAGTCTCTCTAATGCTTTTCGCAAAGCTATTATGCTGACCGAATCAAAAGCTTTTTTCATATCTTGAAAAGTGATCCAGAGTTCTCTCTTTTTCTCTATTGCTTTTTCTATTATATTGTTCATAATATGTATTGGGGCAGCTATGCTTTCTTCTGATAGCTCTGCAAAGTTTGCATCTTTTCATATATTGTTTATACTTAGCACTTTGTCAAGTCTTTGTTGTATAACTCTTGTTATCACTTTTTTTACATATTTCTAACAGAACTATTGAATGAGTTTAGCTTAAATTGTATTTCCAAAAAGTTCTTTTGGAATTAGATATACCTGTCCTAATTTTTACTTGTCTGGAATTTTTTCTTCTTGGATAACTTTGTTTGCAAAGTTTATTAACTTTCTAGTTACTTCTGCAGATAATTTTTTGAAAAGTATATAGCTAATGCCTGAGATTCCCAAGGCTGTTCCATTTTGTGTTTTGTGTAGAGCTTGAAGCCACTCTTCTTTGTTGATAGGGTTCAAAACTTCTTTATATATAGATGAATTTATACTTTTTATAAGCTTATATTCTTCTTTCTTATCTCTTCAAATTTGTGTTTTCATTTACAAAATTGCTTCTGAAAGTGTGCAGTTACTTGGTGTTTCACCTCTTTCTCATTGTTAACAAGTTCTAGGTTGCAATATTGGAAGCTTTCTTCTACTAGAACACTATCTAATGTTACTTTGTTGTATACTCTGTTTAAAAAGCTCTAATGTATTCTTTTTTTATCATTTTTCATTATGTTGAACCTTTGTTCTACCTTTTCTCGTATTTCCTTTTCTTTTCTTTTATACTCTTCTTCTTCTGCTTTTTTTTTTAATACTTTGCCCCAGTTTTTAAGCTTTTTTATATCTAACTGACTTCAATGTTCTGGAAGGTATAGAATTTGAGTTTGATGTGTTTGGTTTATATTTTTGATTTGTAGATCTATTTTTTCTTACTCTGTGCTATCTATCTTTTCAATTGAGTATAAAGAGTGTTTTTTTTTGTAATTGGTATAGGAATTTGACTTCTTTATATACCTCTGATTTAGGAGTTGACAATTTTTCTTGTCTCTCTATTTTTTGATATTGATATGCGGAATATGTTTTAATACTGTCTTTATAATTGTATTACTAATAATGTCCCATTCTATATTAATATTTTCAGCAGCATGAAAAGAGGGCTCTTTTTGGCTTAGATCTGATTTGTTTCTTATTAGATACTCTACAAGCTTGCTATATAAATTCCAGTTTTCTTTTGTAGCTTTGTGATAGAGAAAAACTTTTCTTGTTGGTTTTTTTTCTTTTTTCTTTCTGTATCTACTATAGCTAAGAATTCTTCCTGTTGTGATCTTAGTTCAAATTAGACTGTGATTACTTCCAATAACCAGATTTATGTTTTGGGTTTGGGTCTCGGTGAGTAGATTGCTCATTTCTTTACTTATCCAAATATAATCTATTCTTGATACAAGCTTGTCTCTGTGCCAGGTGTACTCTTTTTTGTGTGGGTTTAGGTGACAAAAAGTATCTATTAGTTCTTTATTTTTAAGCCAGTTTAGCAAAGTTTTTTCCAGCCTCTGGTTTGTTCTTTTTTCATTATTTGTATCTAAGCTTGTGTTACTGATTATATTAAAATCTTTTGCTATACAAACATATGTGTTTGTTTTGTTTTTACAAATTTCACGTACTATTGTTCTTTGTGTTTTCCTAATAATTTTTTTATTTGTAGGTAGAAGATATACAATCTAGATTTGTATTACTACTTTTCTAAAAAAGAGCTCTATCTTGATAAGATAGAGGTTATATTTGTTTATTCTGTCTATGTGTTTGGCCTAGTGTTTGTTTATTAAAATATCAACTTCTGAACCTTTTAACTTGTCTGTCTCACTCGTTGACCAAAACTCATATAACCATATTGTTTTAGCTTAAACTATTTTTCTTCTAATTTACTAATATTCATTTTTGCTATAACTATAATATCTATCTTTTCCTCTTTTCCTAGTTTAGCAAGTGCTATTAACTTGTTTTTATCTACTTTCAACCCATTAATATTATAAAAACCTAATTTGAGAGACTCAAAGTTAGTTTTCTCTAGTGCTTTCTCATATTGCTTTAGAGGCTTGAGATTATATAAGTCATCAATAAGGATTTCTAACTCTTTCCAATACTGTGATTCAACTAGTATGCCCTTTAGGAGTAGTAAGCCAATAGTTGCTTGATTGCTCTAAACCACTTTTGCATATCTGCTAATATTTGTTTAACTTCAAATTCTATATTTGATACATTTTAATATTTTTTCCCTTCTTTTTTGTGCCAAGCTCTATGCTATTCGAGCCTGTTACATATATATTGTGCTTCTCTTTTCTATTCAAGTTAAATATTGTGTTATTTTCTACTAGTAGAAGGGGCTTTCTTGTGTGTGATCATGATCTTGAGATGTTGTGGAGTTTTCAGTAGTCAGTTCATTATTATCTAGTGATCCAGAGTGCTCTCTTATAGTATTCTTCAAAACTGGTATCTTTTTGATTTTGCTAGAGTCTTTTGTATTATTGATTTTGTTACTAAATTCTAGCTTCTTGCATAGTTCTACTTAGTTTGATATTGCTTTTTTTTTATTATTATATGTTGTCTTCATATTAGAGTGATAATATGTATAGGTAAAACTTTTGTTTTCTCGATCCTCAGAGAGTATATCACATCTTAACTTTGTGTTAAAATAATATATATTGGTTATTTGTGCTGCTAGCTTATCATCTGCATTTTTAAAATATATATATGCTCTTCTTGCACAGTTTCTATTCTTGTTTTTTAAAATATGTACTGCTTGTACCTCATACCTCTTCAACTAGTGCAGGAGAAAACTATCTACTGCTTGTGTAGGAATATTTTATATTGTAACTCTATATCTATTTCTTTTTTCCAGCTTAGCAATATCAAATCTTTCTAGAGTTTTTCTATATGTTTTACTTTGGTCTAGTGTGATTGACTACTAGTTTCTGAGCACATTTTTCTGTCTTTCACTTTTAGCAAAAATCTGTATATATGCTAGTTTTGATGTGAAATTTGGTTGCTAGCTGAGTATACTTGCTTTTCCAAAATGCTTAAGATATTTCTTGAGTTCTGTTCCACTCATTTCTTTTGGGAGGTCCCATATAGTAAAGAAGTAAAAGTGTTTTTCCAATCTGCTTTGAAGAGTGAAAGAGGCTTTTGGAGCTTGTATAATACTATATATATTGTTATATATATAATTATGATTCTTGATATTCGCTGTTGATACACAACAAGAGTTATAGATATTTTTATACTTTTTGGCTTTTTTACTACTCTTACTAATTAGGTGCTTGTCTATACTTTCTTTGTCTTTTTCAAGAGATTCGAGAACTCTGTAATCTAAAGTGTCTAGTTCTTCTTTAATCAAAATTTCTTTTTTAATTTCTGGTCTGACTTTTGCTATGTTAGTTATTTTTTTCTGTTCTATATAATTTCTCTTTTAAGAAATAATTATTCATCAATCTGCATATTATTATTTATACTTTCTACTATAGGTTTGGCTATAATTTCTATATTTTGGTTTTCATTAGACGGAATACAGAATTGTAATATAGATAATTTTGAATCGGATGATTGGTCTTCTTGTTTTATACTAATACTATGTATCTGATGTGTACTATCTACTTGCATATTGTTATTGATAAGAAGCTCAAGTAAGATTTTTTCCTCCTCTTTTAGCTCTTGGTCCCTTGTTTTCTTGTGTTGTGCTCAATTATAGTGCTACAAGATATTGCGAATAATTGAAATGAGATAAACCTTATTTGTATCTAAGTATCTCGCAACTTTTTTATCCTCTTCCTATGTGAAAATGCTTTGCTTTTCTTGTATGTTTTTTTTTCCCTTTTCAACTAATAAAGAAGTTTTTGTAGTCTGTTAATTCTAATATATTACATGTTTATTTGTTTGTTTTGGGGATTACTATGTATTTTGTTTGTTGTTTTGTTGTTAGTTTATTGTCTAAATGATATTTTAGGCTTTGTTGTCCTGTTTGGACTATTTGTTTATTTTTAACGTGTGCTTGTTTGTTTGTTTTAATAGTGATTTGCAATACAGGGTATAAGCCAAATCCCTAAAAAAGTTTCAAAAAAAAAAATTTTGATCAAATTTTAGAAACAAAATTCAACATTTCTTTATGTATTGTTTTTACAATGAGCTTTGAAAACAAGGTGTTTTAATAAACTCTATATGAAATTTTTTGCTTGTTTTTTTTTCTTAAGAATGTTTACAAAATTGTCTTAGTATAATTATGCTCAGTTACTATATACTTTTTAGCTCCAGTTTTAGGCATAGTGATCATCAGAAAGAGTTGCTAGTTTGCAAATATCTTACTATTATAGAAGAAAATATAGCTATTTATACAATTATTAAATTTAATATATTAAAACTTGGGTTCTAAAAGTTACAAAAAAGTTGACAATTATAGCAATATACAGGCTTTAAATACTTATTTAATATAGCAAAAATAGCTGTATAGTTTAAGATATAAATCTTTAATAAATACACCAAGTAGAGATACAAACTAGATATATCAAATTAAAAGTAAAAAGTAACTACTTAAAGTATTAATACACCAATTTGAAAGTTAAAACAGTAAATAAAGTAGATAAAGCAAAATATATATAAAAATTAATTGAAGGTAAGTAAGAATATACAAAATCTAGATTAATCACATATGTGGGAATGTTAATAGCTCTAGTGGGTTTTAGCTATAAATAAATAATTTGTATATTTAAAGTTCTAGTTTTAATATTATTGGTCGTCTCATTAAGCATGATACACCAACTTGATACATTTGAATTAAAATATAATTACACAAAATTTTACATA